CACAGTTATCAAATTATGCTTTGAATAGGAATGACTAATATGAATTGTTGTCAATCATAATGCAAATTCTAATGACACAACTTTAAGGTTTGGAAAGGGAGAATATTGGTGCATACCTTCGTAGGACATACAAGTTTGTTTTCTTTCATTTTTACGTTACCATTTCTTTAGCATATTTTAGTGCATATGATAGTTTTTTTTTAAAATAATTATGATTTATATTTTGCCTTAGTAATTGTTTGTTTGTGTGTGAGGGGGAGGTGGTTGATAGAAATATGGTTTGACCATTCCTATAACTAGCAGTTCATCATTTAAGATGTATGATTCCTCAATTGCCAATTACTTCCTTACAATTTTTTGTTCATTTAACTATTGTGTCACAAAGTTAGTTATTCTATATTGATTACAATACATCAAGACAACGGAGGAGAGACCAACATGTCTAACTTTGGGAGGCTTACAAGGTAGTAATCTACTAGTTATAAAGTTACCTTCAGACGAGTTTTTTGTAACTGAAAATTATTTTACTTGATTTGAGGTATGATTGTATAAGTTTTTTCCTTAACTTTCTCTCTTTTTTGTCTTGAACCGTGAAGTTTTTAAGTATTTTCCCAATAATCTCTCAACAATCAACTTTAGTACTTTGCTTAAGATTTGTTATAGTTATCAAACTATACTTTGGATAGGAATGACTGATGTGGATTGTTGTCAATGATAATGCAAGTTCTAGTGACTCAACTTTTGAGCTTCTGAAAGGGAGGATGTGTGCATACATTCGTAGGGTATACAAGTTCATTTTCTTGCATGTCTACGTGACTTTCTTTTGTATATATTTTACTACATACGATAGTTTTCATTTAAAATGTTATGATTTATATTTTTCCTTAGTAATTGTTTGTGGAGGACGATAGAAATATGGTTTGGTCTTTCCTATAATTGGTCTATTTGTCATCATTTAAGGTATATGACTCCTATATTGTCAATTCTTTTTTTAGAATTTTTTGTTTCTTAAAATTTTCATGCCATTTAACTATTGTGTAACGATTTTAGATATTCCCTATTGATTGCAGTACATTTAGACAATAGAGTAGAGGCTAACTTGTTGAACTTTGGGAGAGGCTTATAAGGCAGCAATCTAAGCAGTTATGAAATTACTCTTAGGTGAGCTTTTTACAGGTGATCGTTAGTTTGCTTGATTTGAGGTATGATTCTGTAAACTTTTTTTATACTTCTCCTCTTTTTTGTCTTGAAACTTAAATTAATTAAGTATCTTCACTATGATCTCTCAATGATCAACTTAAGTACTTTGCTTAAGATTTCTTAAAGTTATCAAACTATACTTTATATATAGATGATTAATGTGGATTGTTGTCAAATGATAATGCAAGTTACGGTGACAATTTTAGAGCTTTGGTAAGGGGGGATATGTGTGCATACCTTCGTAGGGCATGCATGTTTGTTTTCTTGCTTGTCTACATGACTATTTCCTTTACATATATTTTATTGTGTATGATTGTTTTTATTTAAAAAACTTGCGAGTTATATTTTTCCTTAATAATTATTTGTGGGGAGGGGGGAGGTATGTGACCTTTTGTTGCCAATTAGTTCCTTACAGTTTTTGTTCCTTCAAATTTTCATGTAGTACATTAAGACAATGGAGGAGACACCAACTTGTTGAACTTTGGCAGGCTTACAAGGCAGTAATCTATGTAGTGACGAAGTTACTTTAGGTGAATTTTTTACAAGTGAACATTATTTTGCTTGTGTTAGCTTAAGGTTATGATTGTGTTAGATTTTTCCTTTTATTTTTTGTCTTGAACCTTGGATGTTCTTAAGTATCTTTCCTATGATGTCAACGATCAACTTATATTCTTTGCTTAAGATTTCTAACGGTTATCAAATGTGCTTTGGATAGGAATAACTTATGTGTATTGTTGTCTATCATAATTCAAGTTTTTATGACAACATTAGAGTTTTGGAAAGGGAGAACATGTGTGCATACCTTTGTAGGGCATACTGGTTTGTTTTTTTTCATGTCTACGTGACCATTTCTTTAGCATATATTTTAGTGCATATGATAGTTTATATTTAAAATGATTATGATTTATATTTTTCTTATTAATTGTTTGTTTGTCTATGTGTGGTGGAGTGGTTTGATAGAAATATGATTTGGCTTTTCCTATAACTAGTAGGGCATCATCTATAGTATATGACTCCTCTGTTACCAATTACTTCTTTATAATTTTTGTTCTGTAAAATTTTCATGCCATTTAACTGTTGTGTCACGAGCTTAGATATTTCCTATTGATTGCAGTATATTAAGACGATGGATGAGAGACCAATATGTAGAACTTTGGGAGGTTTATAAGGCAGTAATCTACCAGCTACGAAGTTACTTTTAGGCAAACTTTTGTAAGTGAACATTATTTTGCTTGATTTAAGATATGTTTGTGTAAGTTTTTTTCTTTCTATTTTTGTCTTAAAATTTGGGAGGCTCATAAAACAGCAATCCAAGTGGTTGCTTGTGGAAGGTGTAGATTTTTTTAGGTATTATATGGTATTGATTTTGTTAGCGTTTTTTTTTCTCTTCTCGTGAAGTTCTTAATTATCATCCTCGATCTACATCCTTTGCTTAAGATTTCTTGCAATTATCGATCTATAAAGATACTGATGTTTAAACCATGGTTATCACAATTCACTAAACCCTTAACGACCCATGATCTGGGTACATTGGTCCGAAATAAGGTGGGTTTGCAATCCATGTCACCATAATGGACGATCCCAAATTATATTACTAACTCTAAATTAATTCTCTTTAGAACATGTAGTACAAATATAAAATATATATTAATTGATTATATGTATATAGATTTATTATTATTTATTGTTTTAGATAATAAAAAATCAAGCACAATTATAAGATAAATGGTAACTAACTTAGTGTTTTTGAACGTTCTGTAATATATAATGTTATATAGTAGTGAAAACGATCTATATAAGAGGTCCAAAATAAATTGCGACACAAAATACCGTACAAGCTAAGCCTATCTCTATCGTACCGCGTACCTAAAAAAGTGTCGTACTATATACTCATACCCAAGTAACATTGGTTTAAACTTGATGGTCCTAAACCATGTTGCTTTGGATACGAATGAACTATGATAGTTTTGTTTATGGTAATTCAGGTTCAAGTGACACAACTCTACACACTTTGAAGAGCACACTGATCAGCTTCTTGCATGTCTGCTTGACTATTTCTTTTGAATATCTTTGAGTAGATGTTCTAGTTTTCATTTTTAAATATTAATAATGTGTTTTTATTAATAATTGTGGTGGTTGTTTGAAAATTTTCATTGGTAGTAAAAAATTTGATTTAATTATCGTATTCTTGATGATCTTTAAATTTACTAGTTATAAAAAAAGGACACACTAGTTTTCAGACTCCAATTGACTGGGGCACAAAAATTGACGTGTGTTAGTGGCATCTTGCACTACGACACTCCATGAATTCAAAATAAGGCGATGTACTTAAGGTGTTCAACAAAGTCCAGGCGCTATGCCCCAGACTCTCGTTTTGTTTCATCGATTTAGAAGATGTCCAGTCAAGTCGCTTTGGAAAACCTCCATAAAGCATATATAGGGGTGGTGATAGTTGAGGGGCACCAATGGTTTGGCTAGCCTTGTCCCCCCCCCCCCCCCAAGCCTTGGCGCCATTGGGCAAAACGTAAGTATGTCTGTATTTCTATGGTGTATTAGTGTATGAGTATGTTTCTTTGGTGTATTAGTGTGTGTGAACAGAACGTATGTTTGGGGGGTGTTCTTTTTGGTATATTAGTGTGTATCTGTTAGTTTTTGTTTCTCTATTAGTGTGTTTATTGTGTTTAGTAGTTTGGTGCAGGAGTATGTGTTTTTTTGGTATACTAGTATGTATTAACGCTGTGTATATGAATGTATATACTAATTAGCTGGGATGTATGTGTGTTTTTTAATGTATTAGTGTGTTCATGTAATAGCGTGTGTTATTGTATATTAGTGTCCGTGTTTGTGACGGATTAGCTTGTGTTAACACTACATGTGATAGAATATATACATTTTTGTGAATATGTGTGTTTAATTGTATTAATGTGTGTATTTTTTGGTGTATTAGTGTGTATGTGTGTATATTTTGGATGGTGCATTAGTGGGTGTGCGTGATGATGGTGTGTGTGTTGCGTAATAGTGTGATTGTGTGTTTTGGTATGTTGGTGTCAGTATTTTTTTAGTGTATTAGTGTTTGTTATCATAGCGTGTGGGTGTGTGTATGTGTGTTGGTTTTAGTGATGGTGTGTGCATCCATGTATTTGTTTGTGCGCGTGCTTTTGGTGTGTTAGTGTGCATTTTTTGGTGTATTAGTGTGTTTAACAATGTATATTTTGGTGTATTAGGATGTTTGTTTATGTTTTAATGTACTAGTTTGCATGTTTTTGTGTAATACTATTGTGTATGTGTTTTTGTGTAAGAGTAGTTGTAATAGGAAAGACCAACTTACTTTAATTACTCTGTTGCCTATTACTTGGTTATATATTTTATTTCTTAAATTTTTGTGCTATGACTCGATGCATAATGTTGCCTATTGAGTGTAGTATCTTAAACGGTGGAGGAAAGGTCAACCTATTGAAATTTGGGAGGCTCATAAAGCAACAATCTATGCAATTATAGATTTTTTTTCAAGCGAGCATGGGACAAGACAGGTATAGATTTTTGCTTGAGTTTTGACGATTCTGAATCTAAAATCCACTCAAAAAAACCAAGAAAAATTTGTTAAGAGAAATGGAGAAATAATGTGTGGGTCCTACCAACCACCAAAAACCACAGTTTTATAGAGAAGACCAATCTGAAGTTCTAAATCTTTGCCAATTTCATACAAAATTGCATGTTAAGCCTTCAAAGATAAAAAAAAATAGTGATTAAACTGCTTAAATGTACCTCTGGAGGCATTGAAATGATCTCTTGCAGTGCAGAATGGTGCTTTGGATTCCAGTCTGTTGCTGTAATAACGAATTGTCGTGTCGTTTTCAACGAAATTGGCCCCGATGGAGCAGCTGCTACCGCTGATGAAGATGATCGGCTCTTTCCTAAATGCTTACGCACCACCCGAATCCCTGTAGGCAAGTTTCCCGATGTGCCTTTCGGTGGAGGACCTAGGATGTATATCCAATTTTTTGGGTACGTGGATATACATCTTTGTACTTTATCTTCCTATCTTGAATTTTTATCTTCCTACTTATGGTATTATTATTAATTATTCGTTGAGAAAGCCGCTTTGGACACATCTCACACATCCTTGCGAGAGTAAATTTTGAATAATTGCAAACTTAGATACATGTTCAAGCACTTTATTTTCAAATCGTATGTTGTAGTTTAGCTCAATTCAATCAAGCTTGTATATCCTAACAATACATGCTCAGTAACACTTGAAATTTGAAGAGTTAATTTTTAAGTAAATAGCACATATATCCCTCAAATTATGATCTTTATGTTAATTGAGTCCTTTAACTTTTTTTTTATGGCAATTGAGTCATTCAACTCTCTAATTGTGCTAATTAAGCTCTTATGTCTGCCTCTGATAGATTTATTAACAGAAAGTAATGAAGTGTGCTACTAATGTGACACAAATGGTTGGAGTAAACTATACATATGTAGCCCTCAAATTGTGTAAGTTATTACCAAAATAATGCACTTTTAAAACAAAAATATCATTTTACTGCACTTTTAAACTTATTTATTGATTTATGGCCGTTTTAAAAGTGGAATTGTTGATTCCATTTTTAAAAATTGTAGTAGATCGGTAAATAAGTTTAAAAGTGCGGTAGATCGGTATATTTGTTTGAAAAGTGTTGTATTTTGGTAATACATTCTCAAACTATAACTCTTGTGTCAATTAACTACCTAATTTTTTTTTTGTGTTAATTGAGATTTTTATATTTTTGTGTCATATAGGCACATGAGTGGCATATTCTAACGGAGGTAGACAAAAGGATTTAGTTAACCTACTTAGAAAGTTCAGAAATTTAATTGACACAAAAAAAAATAATTAGGATTTAATTGACATAAAAATTATAGTTTGAAGACTATATGTGCAGTCGAACTTGGAGCGAACCAAAGTCCAAACCAGTTGGATTCAACATCTCTGCTTTCACTTGAAAAATTCATGCACCCCTCAAAATTATTAAGACACAGTTACCTCCCCGGAGGGGGGGGGGGGGGGGGGGGCTCTTAACGACGCAACACAATCTTTCGATCCTCTCCCACATGGATCTATGGCACTGTTGTGGCCATCTCTGCCTGAGACAAGCCAATGCCTTCTGCAGTACAATAATGTTGGCTCACTTCTTAATATCCCACAGTTTCGGTTCCATACCTCTACTGTAATTTCATTGTTGCAAGTTTGGTCAAACTATAATACCAAAAAATTAATTGTTTCTCGATACGATATTTCCTATTTTCTACTAATGAGAGTATGACCCATTTAAAGTATTCAATGTTTATTATTTCCAAGATCAATAACACAAAATCTAAGCTTAACATCCAGTTTTTGGTAGTCTTGCCCCTCAGTTTCTTTCCATGTCAGAAAAAAGGGCACCTTTCATTCAATGATAAAAAAATCCAACTTCTTTCTAATACATAGACCTCAAACAAAAAAAAAATGAAAGCTTGTAAGATCTTCGTTCAGTGGATCTACTTGAGAGAAGGTTCTGAGATTTTGTCAGAGTTTGAACTAAGCAAAAAACCATGGCATATATATAATATAGATTCTGAAAACAGTAAGTCAATCATAACCTTGGAGAAAGAGTTAATGGGTGTGCATACTGCTTTCTTGAATCTTGATAATGTGCATTTGTCCATTCTTCTTCCAAGTTATATTATATATATAGATTTTCCTTTCTTGTAGAGGGAATTGACATGTCGGGTTTTCAAATGGTTCATTGAACCATCACACACTTTTCTCCTTTCTATGGGCATAGGATGGGAAACCATTCTTCTTCGCTTGTGGAGAGGCCTGGGATGGGGGATTTATGTCAATTGTTACACTAACACTTTCCCTTGATTGACTCCATCTGTTCCAAACATTCCTTTTCTAACTTCAAAAAAAGGAAAAATATGATGTTATGTTCATGTATTTGGTTCTCTTGGGGAACTTCCACCGGCACAACTCTTCTTATACAACAGAGGTGTTGTTTCTCAAAATAACGTCATTTTGAAAACATCTCCTACTGTACAACAGAGGAGCTAGACCTGAACTCCCATCTTTCAAATTCCTCATTCTGGCCTCTCGATTGTTGTGTTCAATTGCTGGAAGGTGTAAAGGATGGCTATTTGGCTAATTATTAAAAAAAATTAAATACGATACATTAGGGAAATTTTTATGGCATAAAATGCTCAAGAAGGAAGTTAGTTATTCGATATCCCATTGATACTTACACCCCCTAGAAAGAAAAGGATAATGTTATTTTTTGACCCATGTTTATTGATTTTAAATTAAAATTTACTCACTATGTGTCACATTATTTAGTTTTTTTTTATTATTTTTTTTAATCATTGTGCACAACAAACTGGACCAAATCAAAGAATTAAAAGTCTACTTCCAATTTTTTATTACTTCTACCATACATAGCAATATAGGAAGAGAAGTCAAATTAAATGTCATTGCAACAAAATAACACCGCCCTTGTAAAATATCTCGAACAAATTCATATCTAGAGTATTATTTTTCCACATTTATTCTATATTATTGACACAGTACCGAGCTATTAACATTGAGGACACCTCTAACAAACAATACACGTCACTCTAATTAACAATATACGCAACTCTTTTGAAGAAAGAGAAGTCAAATGAGATTGATACGGCGAACACACACAGAGGGGCCCAATAAATGGATAAATAAAACCATAGGTAGTAAATGGTGTCAAAGGGGTAAAAATGTCTTAAGATTTTGGAGACAAATTAAACTTCAATGAATAGTTCAAGTGATAACAGAGACGAACTGTAAATTCAAAAATTCTGAATTTGAAAATATCTTAATTTCGACGTGAATCACATACTGTTGACCAAACCAAAAAAAAATAAAAATTAATCGAAGTGCACATAAACTGAATCATACCCTCATCGTTCAACTAAATAACAATTTGGAGACAAAATTGTCTACACAAAATGGGTTGACCTTAGAGTGGGATGTTGATAAGATCAGCTGATCTTACTTCTATAGGTTTGAATTGCCTAGAGAGATCATTATGTTCATAATTAGATGTCAAGGGATAATTGGGTACTTAATATTGTTTCTCTTTTCCAGATAGAACAAAACAAGTTAGTTATTTGGTAAATAAAAAGGAGGAGGGGGGGTTTGGTAGTAAACAATTTTTAATCATAATATACATTGAATCATAGTCTTGGTTGTGTTCTAAGTGAACATTGGGCTTATAACGTGCTTGGTCAATCTCATGCACGTTATGTACCTACTACTTATATGAGAAAAATATTAAATATAATAGCGGTAACAACTATCCAAACGTAGTGTCACCGATATACTTATTCACCTCAAAAATCCGAGACTATTGTTATTATTTCCAACTTTATTATTAGAAAATGTTCTCTAACAACTTCTTTATTATGTCTTCCCATAACAAATATGCTAAAATGTGGAAATACTTAAATCGCAACACGAGATTTTTTTTTTTACTACCGAAAAAAATGGGATAAGAGCAAAAGAGAACACCAAAAAACTATCCCGATTGACCTTCACGGTAGAATCATAAAACACCTGACCGTGTCTGTTACACTTTTCGAGAACGAACCTAAGTTAACATAACAATTTTCAATGTGAGAAATTTGATCGATATCTCACTGAACCGCCCCGTCCCGTTCGGTGGTTGAATTTGGAAGGTTGTGACAGCCGTTTAAGATGTTTATGGAGTAAGATCCAACAATTCAACTTACAAACAGTATTTTTACGATCAATCGTTATATATGAATTAAATTAAGATTAATAATTATAAATTATTTTTAATATAATATTAATTAATCACTTTTTCCGGTATGATAACTCTATTTATCGAGTATTTTAATTCCAAATACGAATGGAGGAAATCAATCAAAATGACAAAACTTCACAACCTGCAGAGAGGTAAGGGAAGGTGAAGGCCGAAGGGTCACTGTAGGGAGGAGAAAAATATTGAGTGTCTGTAGCAGAGCATTTTAAGCCTCTAAGCCTGTTGTCACAAGGAGACAAATTGAATCTCTCATGTATTATCAATTCTCATTATCAACATCAATGAATTCGCCATTTTCGAGATGAAGTAGACCATACCAAACATACAAAAGTCCAAAACATGGGTCCTTCTCTCTCTCCTTCACTCCTCGTTTTTCTCTCCTCTGTGGAAACAAAAGAAAAAATGACGGAAAGATGTTTTTTACTGTTCCGGCGCTTGTCCCCACTTTACCCAGTTCGCTGACCACTAAAGACACCATTTCACCCAAGCTTTTTTTAAACTCAAAGATACCATGTCCCACCCACCACATACAAATCCAAATCAGAACACACCAAACAATGGGATAATGAAATAAGGATTGGATTTAAGCAAGCCTTATTTGTAATTTTTTTATAAACATGTAATTTGACTAATTTTTTTTAATTCAATTAAAAAAAATCATTAACGACCGAATTAAAATATTTATGAAAAAAAATAAATTCATTATAACTTAATTCCAAAAAATTACTAAAATTCAAATTCTAAACCTCAAGACAGTGCAAAACTCATTCTGGTTGCCACCCAAACAAGGAATTTTATTTGTAATCTTTAAGATGCATAGTAAATGCCATATTAATCACCAAGGAAAGGCACCATCAAGAAGTCACAGTGATTATGATTATACATGTACATACAAAGTCCTGAATCTTCTTTCATTTTCACAGAAAAAGATCAGCTTTACAGACATGGAGCAAGTTTTCAGCTACCACTCACCAGTCATTATCTCTCATATTTGACCCTACCCTACCCTACACTACACCCTCTCTCTCTCCCTCTCCCTGGATTTTTTTTTTTTTTTGTTTCTGAATATTTTACAAAGAACAAAGCTAGAGTGATAATTGATAACTCATTTCTTAGTAATTGCCACGGTTGAATCTCTCATATCAAAGAAAGACCGAAAAGATCACAACATAGTAGTAGTGCTTTTTCCACTTTGAGCACTTTTCCGGCTTTCTATGGTACTCTCAAATGCAACCCAAGTCTTCTCTTTCCC